CAGTTTTCTTCAAGTGCCCCATTTTCAACCGATCACCCTAATAGAATCTTTCTCTTTCTTATCACCCGATATATAGGCCTTATTTGATGTTGTTTGCTTCGCTTGAAAGTGATACTAACCTATTTTACTTTATCAGTGTTTGGTGACTCACACTGATTTTGGCACACGTTTACGTGTACTAGATAAAGATAAAAAATGAGACATAAATGTGACTGATACATTGTAACTGAAAACTGCTATCCTTGCATAGGTTAAACATATGCAGGTCTTCTCTTTGTGTCGGATGTGTCAGGTGTCTCCACGTGTTCCACTCTTTTCGCAAGTCAGCGTTGATTCTGTCCATTCACCTCATTTTGGGTATCCCCCAGATTACGTTGCCTTTCCGTTAACAAGGCTGTACGGCTGACCGCGTAATGTGTAACCAGACTTCCCTACCTTTTGTGCACATACCGCTGCTATCGTAATCTCTTTTTCGTGATTTTCTGGGCAAGAGCTACTTTTATTTGGGCTTGTTTAGTGTCGTCGCAGATGTGTTCTTTTAGTGTGACACTCAAGATTCATTCAAACGTCACATCCTTGTTTCCATGGCACAAATTGCTAAGTCTGCACTCCCAATTCCGCGTACATGGCCAGCATTCATTAAACAGATGATGCTGGACGACCGGGGTCCGGTACAACTGGGCTTAAGCTGCACTGGCATTTGTCTGTTGCGCAGAACTCTCGTTAAGATTCTGCATTTCACAACGCGACGTTCAACTGGTAGAGCGACCTCCTGTTGTAGGCATCTCTTTGCTGAGATGTTCTGTATAGATACTTCTATGACATTGCATTTTTTCAGCTCTTCGTCATCAAATTTATGGTTTCCAGAGTTTTTCCCGTTTTCATTTATTCTGCCCTTGGTGAGCTACAATTCCCACAACTCTGAAGTGTTCTCCAACTTCAATTTACCTTCCAGGTCCCTTGTTCTTGCGATCAAGATCACTTCTTCCGAAAGAGAGGTCTCCAAGGAGATTCATGCTCTAGGGATTTTGTCAGCGTTCATTACGAAAGCGTTAGGAAAAGAGAACGAACCTCGGTGTAAACCTACCTTGATTTGGAACTCTTTCGACTGTCCTGCAGTTGTTCATATGCGTCTTCATGGGGTACCCCTGACGTCACGTATTTTCCTAACTCACTTCATAAGGCACTCATCGAAGACTTTTCTAGTTTCAGAAAAGCTGCATGCAACTTATTCTACTTCTCTCTACATTCCCCCATCGCGTGGAGTGAATGGCGTCGGTTGTGCCTACTTCAATCCAATCCACTCTGTTCGGTCGAAGATTGAAGTGTCGGTCGGATTGGCTGTGGAAGCGCAGTTTGCGACGTCTCCTTTATTTTCCGCGTCGCGTTGTGCTGACCCCGGGAGTGGGGATCAAACGTGTGTTCAAGCTGTTCTGGTCATAGCGGCGCCTCATACCACTCTACCCGTCCCCTACAAGGGCATATTATCCCCGGTAAACTGGTGAACTGGTAATGCTGGTAGTCTGGATGACTGACGCGGGATGTTTTAGCCAGCTTGTCGCATGCCATTCTTTGGAAGAGCGGCTTGACGATAGATTTGTAAACAGAACTTTTACCGTAGAAAATAGTGGTGTGCGCGGTCAAATCGAGCTTCAGCGCGATATTTGCCATTCATTTATGTTGGTAGACGAAGAAGCAAAAGAGAAAATTGCCTTGTATTAACTCTGACGCTGGCAACGCAACCCATACAATCAGAAAAAGTACCGTTACTTTGTAAACCCCGCTAGATATAGAAAGCAGCGTGTGGATTGACATACATTCCTTTCTTGCTCACGATCACTAAGTATTCCTTCTATGTAAATAATGTTTTTTTAAGTAAAAACTTACTGTCGGCTTTCCTTGTTTGTGTAAGGTCCAAATTTGAGAAGTCGTCTGAAAAAAATATATGACGGAGATAGTAATACAAGGTCTAATGACAGAAAACGAGAGCAAAGCTTGCAGAGCATTAGGCGTCACTTCCTCTACTAGCAGTCCTCGACATCCGTTTGGCTGGATCCCCTCCGTAGGACTCCTCCGCTTAGCCCAGTCTTACCCCTCCCCCCTCCCCTCCGTCAGGAAATCAGTCTCAGTTTTGACTATGAAAGTGGAAACATGTAAATTCAATCTCACTTTCATCTGAGCTCCATCCCGAGATCATTTCGTCTTTTCTTTCATGCTCGATAGGATTTGAATCTAATGGATGTGTTGTCTCCCTTAAAACATCAAAGTGTTGCTGTTTGGTATACTCGGACTTGATCGTTTACCTTAGTATATCGTCAACAACCAAAGAATCTTCACGAAGAGACGGCGGGTCAGCTGGAAATATTGCGATAAAAAAGAGTGATCTGCACGAATTCACCTAACCATCCAAAGCATATTCTTCTTCGGAGTCTAGCAGTTCTTCCCGTAGTTCAGCGTTATCCCACACAGGCTGATCGAAGTGTATTGTGGTAGTGTCTAAGGATACAGACGGCACCGAGCGAGCTAAAGTAGTAATTTGAATGGGGCGGTTTACGATTGAAAAAATTGTGTACATCTGTTCTTTGAAGTCTCGCCCTCCTTAGGCTTTGCCATCGCTGTTGAATCTTCCACAATCTTCACAACTGATATCTCAAATAAATTTGATAAAGAAACTGTAGTAATAACCGATTAATACTCAATAGTGT